CCGCCCCGCCCGCGCGTGCGCACTGCAGCCCCGCCGCGGCCCGGTACCCCGACCCGAGAACAAAAGTGGCGGTGCGGAGGGGCGCAAACTCGCCGGCCCGCGGCTTGGGGCTGCAGGCCCCGGGACCGTTCCGGCCGGACGCCCCTCCACCTCTCCGGCCCCGAGCCCAGCCAGACGCGAGGAAAATGGGCCGCGCTGCCCAAGGCCGGGGTTGGAGATACTTTCCGGTGGGAGGAAAAAAAATTTCCATTTTTTTTCATTTCTTTTCTGCTCTGGCTCTCGGTGCTCCCTGTCTTCCTCTACTCCCTCTTCCCTGCCTCGGGCAGCCTCCCTCTCCTACTTTATTTAAATTGTCTGCCATCCCCTCCCGCCGCCCTGCACACCAGCGCGGCTCCTTGGGAGATTGCGTTAGTCCTGTCGCAAGATTCCCCCACCGCCTGATGGCCACCGTGTTGTTTAAACAGTATGAAAATTGATCTCGACTCTTCCTTTAATAATCTTTTTTTTTTTTTTTTTACACTCACAATTAAACTCTCAACAGATGTCACCGGACTTTTTAACGCTGTTGTTAAAAATCGTAAACACGCCCGGTCAGTGTGACATAAAACAGTTACAAGTACAGCTGCTGAGGTCGTATTCCAAAACTCCCAGCCCACAGCCAGGAGGTTAATGTCTCCGAGTCGATATTACCATGGTGGAGTTACCATCCTCATCAATTATGGCCGAGTGCTTTGTGCCCTCTCCATAGCATCCTGGTATGTTTGGAAGGCGTTGGGGGGCCGGGGGCGGGGGACGACGGTGCAGTCGTCTTTCAAAGGAAACGTTTAAACCAATAAATCATTATAACTTCATATACCTGCACAGCACAAGAAACAACGCAGGCGCACACAATCCACAGATGCCCCATTCCAACATGTGCCCTCCCGCCACACGGCACTTCTGTCAGAAGTTGTTGGAATGTTTTTTCAGGTCAGGACCCCAGTGTGGCTCTGGCCTCCGTTTGGGCTTTTGCCACAAGTGACTTAACGTGTTTGTCCCTTGGGCACCCAGATACCAGGGGCCCCTCATCTCTGACCCCAGCACCAGCCTTTAGAAAAAACTCAGCAACGGATCCCTGGTGAATTTGTGAGCTTTGTTATCCCACGCAAAACTAACACATGTTCTAAGTGGTCATGATCCATTTGGTCTAGCACCAAACCAGGGACAAGCATGGTTCACCGAACGCAAAACAAAAGGGCTGACACTGGGCACCCTGAAGAGGCTCTGGCTCCTTCCCCTGTGGGTTCAACCCAACTCAGGATGGCATCCTCCCTCCTCAGTGCTTTCGCTGGCCTGGACACCAGCCTGATAAAGTGGACCGCCCTGCAGGGAACAGTGGTCCAAGAGCCAGGGAGAGCCGGCGTGTGAGAGCCTTCCTACTGTCATCTCTGGAAATGTCCCTGGCTTTTTGGTAAAAATTCATAATAATCTCATTGGCCAAGTATGTAGTTAAATCAACAGAGAGGACTCTCAGGGCGTCCGTGACCCGCGCGCACTCGGGCAAATGCGGGCTGGAGGAGACTGCTTTCTGCTGTGGAGACTTCGAAGTGCTGTCTGCAAGTTTCTGTTAATTAATTCAGGGCACAGTGATGATCTTCTCCTTGGCCCTCTGTTGTTTTTGTAGCTACCTAATTCCTGAGCAAAGCAACAAAGGCCCAGGGCTGGGGCGCTCTCTGACAGGGAGGGAGTTGAAGCTGAAGTTCTCACGAGCAAACTTGCAGAGTGTGGGGTTGTCACTGCGGACACACTGTTCTCTGACTCCGTCCGGCTCTCCCGGCCGCCCTCCCTTTGCCCATGCTGTGCCCTCCATGTGGAGTGCCCTTTCCCTCACAACCTACCTTTTTAAAAATCCTCTTCAACTTCCCGTGTTCACCTCAAATACCCCCTTTTCTGGGAAACTTCCTCTAGTTTCTACACATGAATTCTTCACTCCTCCCTCGGGAGACCCACCATGCAGAGCTCCTCAGCATGGGGCGCATTCTGTCCCATAATAACGGTGATTGTTTTCTTCCCCATGGGCGCCCTAGCCAACTCTGAGTCTGGTCTGGGAGCAGAGCCCGGCATCAGTATGTTGATGGATGGTCCCGTGTGCCTGGAACAAAGTAGGTGCTTAATAGAGGAGTAGGTGAGTGAGGGGTGGGTGGATGAATGGATGGATGGATGGATGCTAAGAGAAATACAATCCGTTTCTGGAAAGGTGGGCTATTAATAATGGCCATAGAAGTGAGCAGTGTCTACAACCCAGCCCAGCGTCCGTATTTCTCTTCACCTGCATTGTGATCAAGTGGACAGGGGGCCTGGATTGGAGCTTGAATACCTGAGTTTGAGACTGGAGCCCACCCCTTAACAGCCTCATGACCTTGGGCAAGTCACTCCACATCTCCTAGCCTCCGTTTCTTCAGATGTCAAAGGGGAATGGGAATTATCCAACCAACCATAGGTACCCCCAGATCCACTCAGCTCCTCGTAGCCTCAGACCTTGGCTACTTGCTCCGTGGGGAGCCCCAGTCACAGTCCATCGCTGGCTTAACCAGTCAGGGGTGAGGGCCAGCCTGCAGCATGGTCTCCCCCACACGGCTGCCACAGTGGGGGCTGAGCAGCTCTGGCACCTCATCCAACTCTGTGAACCTGTGGGGGCCTGGCTGCTCCCTGCCTCCCCTGCTGGTTTTGGAGTGAAGCTCTGCACCTTGGACGTGGATCTGGCCCCCATGATGACTGACAAAGGATGGAGTAACACAAACTTGGAAGTCCAGGGGAGTTGGCTAGTACCTCATCAAATGAACTTAAAGCAACCAGAAACAGGATTCAGGAAGGAGCCAGCAAATCAATATCGCTCCCTTCCTTGGCTGGTTGGATGCTCTGGGTTGGATCTGCTTTGTGTGAAGTGGCGGGCTTTGCAAGAGTCCATCACCTTGACTTTGCTTTCCTTCTTTCCCTCGCTTTCCCCTCATCTTGCTGCCCTAGGATGGCACCCCAAAAATAGACTTTAAGGTTTGTTTTGCCTCTGTTTTCAAAGGACCCCCCGCTAAGAAGGGGGAGAGCTACAGGGTTCTGGTGAGGATTAATGAGATCACATCTAAGAAAGCCCTTAGTACACTGGAAAGAACAGAAAATGTTGGTGATAATTCTTAGACTAAAGAACTGGTCTTCAGTTTCTCCCCTGCATGAAAGATTCCTATGAAAAGCCAAGGTGAATCTTGAAAGAGGACCTCAAAAGTAGCTCAATAAGCATTTAATATGCATCCACATTGTACAGGGCCCTACACCAGGCGCTATGTGATAGACATCCAATTAGATGGGTCTCTGGCTCTTGGGGGGACTGTGGTGTGGTGAGGATCCAAGAGAGAAAACACAAGCATAAGAGATGATAATCCCAGGGGCCCTGCATTAAAAATAGCACAGAATGAGGGGAAAGGGGGAGTGGGGGAGGGAAGGGTTAATTCTGGGAAGGGTGGTCGGAAAGGGGCTTGTCAAGAAGTCATTTGAGCAGTGCTTTGAAGGGGTAAAAATAGCATTTGTTCTGGGTTTTACCATTCGTGAAGCATTCTCCATATCTGTGATCTCACTGACCTCAGAGGAGTTCCAGGATGTAGGTTGGGTACCCCCAATTTTGAAGGTTGAAGGACCAATGCGGAGGGCCCTGGCTTCACTGGGAGGGATGCACAGACTGAGGCAGAGGAGACCCGGGCTCTTCCACTTAGGGGCTGCGTGATCTTGGGCAAGTTGGCTGAGGACAGATTGGTCTGCAATGACAGGGAAGGGTACTGTAGCAGAGGAAGCAGCATAAGCCAAGGTCCTGAGGCGGAGACCTCAGAGGCCTCTAAAATTCTTACCCTTTCAAGGGTAAAAT